CTCACATTGATTCTTCTCCATTTCATTCAGTACTTCACTCTCCTCTTTCAGCACCCTTAGGTCTAAGGCGAAAAAAGACAAATTAAAGTTAAACCCAGTTTAATGGCACAAAGTAACAGACATCAAAACATTTATACATATAAAGCATCAAAACCAAGAACATAAACCTGCTAATGCTTCTTAAGCCCCTTAAATTGATCCCATAAAATTGTGCCTTCTGTGTGAACACAAAAACACCTAGTAATAATGCCGGGATCAGTCCCGGAACGGATCAATGCAGAGATATTACATGTCCAATCTCTACATCACCACAGATGTAGACCGCCCCCCTGGCTTCGGTTTCGCTGTGGGAGCACAATGAGCATGAATCCAACTTGGGAGGAGAGGTAATAAAAACTTGCACAAAAAACTACCACTAACAGCACCAATAACTATATAGACGGATGAGGACCCTCAATTGTCTAAGATAATTCCTTCCTTCTTTATCCATGAATTTGCTTTGAGTTTAGAAAGGACTCCTCAGCTAAAACTTGCATCAAGTGAGAGAAATCGCTGTTTGTGCTTGTTTACCGTAATGTGTCCAGCCTCACCAAAAAGGTTGAAAATGGCGATTTAAATTTTGAAGAAAAAGCCGTTATGTGGTCTTTCAGCAGTAACATTAGAGTGGCTATATCTGTTAAAGCTATTGCTGAGTTCACATTGCACGATTGTAGCAATTTTTCACTTGAAGAAACTTTCAAACGAAATCTGTGGGAACAAAGACGAAGTGCAGCTACTCCCTGCACTTGCCAACTGAAAGTCTCAAATGGGTCTTATTGGTGAAATGTACAGCTCAGGTAATGGCTACAAAAAAAACTCCAAATTAGATATATCATGGAACACAGTGAAGACAGTCATCAACAAGTGTAGAAAGTATGGCACAACAGTGAATTATCAAAAATATCTATGGTTATGATGGTAACCATGGTTTCCTGAGAAGGGGAGTGAGAAACTGTCTGGATCGTTGTTATGGGGAACAGCATCAGTGTGAATGGTGTCTGAAGCACGTGTATACACAGCAATTTCATTGATCAACGACATATGCTCCTTGACAAGGAAATTCCCAGCCTTTTTCAACCTTCCTCTCTTCTTTGTGGGCGCAGCCTTAAGCCCGGAACACATCAAGCCGACGGTCGGCCGCCGGGCAGTTTTTGTGCGTCGGCCGACTAAGTTTGCTCGGTGTGTTCCGCACGGTTCTGTGCCGTTGGCTGAAAATAGTCCTCGTCGGCTTTGTTTCGCCCGATTCAACATGTTGAATCGGCGTCGGGTCGTCGGGGAAAGAGAGAACTCCGATTGGCTGTTCAGCTCAGTGAAAGAGTCAGTGCACCAGAATAAAAGCAAAACAGCAAGCAAAGAAGTCTAAACGGTAAAGATAGAAGGCTTTTCTTATGTTACATCATCTTACCTGAGTGTTCCTAGGCAAATATTTCAATATTAACATGAGCGGAGTGGAATAAAGAAAGGGTTTAGCAAGATTGATATTCAAAACGGCAAGCATACGCTGCTTTGTTTACGTTATGTGTATCTGCAGCCGGCAGCAGTGGTTTTCCTTTTTGAATGACGAATATAGACTAATATATCTGCAGAAATAGACAGTAGGCTCATTATATGCAAGTGCAGAACGCACATTCTAGCTGACAGTCGCTTGTAGTTCTCTCAGTGTGTTCAAGTGCAGCTTTTTACCCCGATGATAGCGGACGAGAGGCGACAACACAGTCGGCTTTCATCAGCGCTAGTTCGTCGGCTTGGCGTGTTCCGGGCTTTAACCACCTACAGCCCAGGAGCAGAGCTTTAAGGCAGGGGTTCTCAACTCCAGTCCTCGTGACCCACTGCTCTGCATATTGTGTATGTCTCCCTTATTTAACACACCTGATTCAGATCCTCAGCTCGTTAGGATAGGCTATTGAAAAGATAATTGCCTTGTGTTGTGTTTGCATATTTAATGTCTTGTACTGTCGATCTAAAGTTACCTTGCTAACACATAGTGTTTCACTATAGATTGGATATTTATATCTTTTGCAAAGGTTACAATTACGGCCCGTTCAAATGAACTCTAAACAAGTCATTTTCTCGGTTCCATAGTGATTCGGTCAAGATTCATTCTAAATCAATGAATCATTCCCTTTGAGCTAAATTGGCCATCCGGCCCGCTTAAATACATTTTATGTATATTATTATAGTGTAATCGTTACAGCAGCACACACAATAACCAAATATATAAAATAAAAGGATTACAATGTAAAAGATTATTAGTGTGTACATAAAGATATGGTGGAATCCGGCTTTTCCCGTAGATGATCTGCTTGCGCAAGAGCAGTTCCGTTTGCACTCTGAAGACGAGTTTGGTCTTTCCACTAGCAAATTCCGTCATGTAAATAGCAAATCCGCCATTGCACAAGCGCAACTGCCAGTTAAAGGGAATGGGAGATGAGACTCTGATTGGTTTAACACACATAAATCCCAAAACACATCCATTACTCATGAGAATAGGCACAGCCCTTTTAGAACATTCGCCTGGCATGCCGATAATTTTTCCAGTCGTTAAATTAGCAAAAGTGGATTCTGAAGATAAGAAGAGTTGATGAACCATTTCAGGCACCATCCTCACAGACGCTTCAGTAGTGACGCCCTGGACTGTCGTCAGGCAATGTAATTGTTGTGTGTAAACATGCTTCAGAATCTCATCACACTGATCACCCCATAGTATCGATCCAGACGTAGTATTAATTTCTAAAGTTGCAGCTCTTTCTGTTAAGTACTGGCTGTTCCCTGCATGTGACAACTATCTCCTGTATTCCATCTGTTAGGATTGTGGCAAGACGCAGATCTTTTCTAACTAAAAAAAGGATCCAACCAAGCTTAGATAAATTTAGCTAAACCATATATATAATCCAGTGGCAGATCCTGGCATAGGCAAAATATTTACCTATAGTGGCTAATGAATCTAAAGTCTTGCATATTCAACGGAAAAAAGGACTTCTGTGTTGCAAATCATGGTGCATATGAGCTATCTGGATTTAACCCTCAGGTGCTCTTCGGTCATTTCTGACCGAAAAACTTTCTGTTTTGAAATTTTAAAAATCACAGCTTCATCGGAATGTTACGAAACTTGGTGACTTTTATGGCATTGGGTATGTGAACACAAAAAGAAAAATTGAGATCATGATCCGAGCATGCTAAGTGGTCGTAAAAAAAATAGTCACACTTGTGCTCTTCGGTCAAAAATGACCGACCATAGGAAATGAATGGGAAATTGACAAAAACACAAAAACTTTGAGAATTTTTGTGTGTACAATCTACAAATCGGCCAAGATGCAGAAAAAAGTGCTCAGCATTGAAGGGGTGACACTCTGAAACATCCTACACACACACACTTTTATACACAAAAACACCAATAAATAGTGATTAAAGAAATCTGTTTTGAATATTTAAAAATCACAGCTTCTTCAGAAAATTACAAAACTTGGTGACTTTTATAGCATTGGGTATGTGAACACAAAAAAAATTTGAGGTCATGATTCAAGCAATTTAAGTGGTCGTAAAAAAATTAGTCACACTTTTGCTCTTCTGTCAAAATGACCGACCCATAGGAAATGAATGGGAAATTGACAAAAAAAAAATTTCTCTGAATTTTTGTATGTACAATCTACAAATCCGCCACAATTCTAAAAAAATATACACCGCAGGAAAGGGGTGACACTCTACAACATCTAGAGTGCAAAACAGACACACCCACCAACACACACACAGACACACAAACACACTTTTATACACATACACACCAATACATTTTGATTACAAAAGTATGTTTTGAATTTTTTAAAATCACAGCTTCATCGCAATGTTATGAAACTTGGTGACTTTTATGGCATTATGTATGTGAACACAAAAAAAAATTGAGGTCATGATCTGAGCATGTTAAGTGGTCTTAAAAAAATAGTAACACTTGTGGTCTTTGGTCAAAAATGACCCCCATAAGAAATGAATGGGAAATTTTTAAAAAATGAAAAAAAAAAAAAAAAGAAAAAAAAATTGTGAATTTTTGTTTTTTTGTCAATTTTTTTTTATAATACTTTTTGAGATTGTTTCAACTATATATTCAAATCCACCAACAACAAAAAAAATGTGTCCATAAACAGCTGGGGAATTCACATGCCTCTCCATAGAGAGCTGTACATGCCATCTAGTGGTTACACCATGATTCTACGCTTTTTCTTTATACTGTAACCAGATGGTGCTAATTTTCTTCAAAAAAATATTTTTTTATGAAGGCCTAGACTCTATATTAAACTAAAATACTGCATTAATATTTTTTGAAAAGAATAATATATATATAGAAAATTATATTTCCATGGCAAAAATAAACCATAAATATTCCATAAATATTAATAAATTCAATTAAATTGTCTCAAAATACTAAATTAAAAAGAATAAATATTAGAGAACAAAAATAAATTGCATTGTTTTTACTGGGATGGAGAAAGTTTTATTTTTAGGTGTCCGGTCACTTTTGACCGGGAAGATAACAAGTGTGACTCCGAAACGAAGAGCACCTGAGGGTTAATGTTGACAGGAATTATCAGCCAGTCAGTGTAGACTTCCATGATTTACGGAGGGAATAACAGTGTACCTTTAAATTGTAAAGAAATTAAGGATCCTTTTTTTGTAAGCCTGTCAAATTATTTAATGCAGGCCTAGCAACATTAACTGTCTGCAACCAATGGTACTGTGACCGAAATAGGCAAATGTTTTTACATTATTCATATCAGGGTTCATACATTTTTTAAAGAGTGAAATTCAAGCAATTTTTTTCTTTCAATGACTTTCAAGTGATTTACAATTTTTTCAGCACACCAAAGCTCTAAGTATTATCCAAATTTGATTTAAAAAAAGTAATTCAACAAAGATTGTTCTCATCTGTAAAACAAAATGTTTCAAAACGTAGGTGTTAAAACTTAAGTTGATCACTTACATTTCAGTTTGCTAAATAAATGTTTTTGTTATACTGTTGCATTTTAATTGATTTCAATTTACAAGTTGATACTGGGTTTAATATCACATAAATTAATAGATTTGTTTGAGCTACTTAAATATTATTTTTCCCAATTTAATGCGTGACGTCTTAATATCGAGTCTCTAACGTGGAAGTAGGATCAGAGATCGACTTATATGGACATGAGGGTCTTATCTCTTTCCATTGGAGAAAGCGTAACGGCTAACTGGGATCAGGTGAGGCACCTCAGCCTATCGTGGGAAGGCAGTGACGTCAGTGACCGCAGTTCAACATTTTATGACAGTCAGTTACAGCTTACGCTAATCAGTTTCTTGTGGATTAACGTGTTGGTCTTGTGAACAATGTTTTATATTTGGTGATCGCTATTAAATGTACGTTAGGGATACATTTTTTTGTGAAATGAGCTTTGCAGCTAATATAGATTCTCTCACTTTTTCCACAGTAAAGTACCAGTCACTGCAGGGCGCATAAAACTACATTTAAGACTAAACAAAAAATGTTACTGTCATTTAATACATATTTAATTAATTAAAATTATATATATATATATATATATATATATATATATATTTTACCATCATTCATTAAAAAGTAATATATTACCATCATTGGGCACACAGCAGTAATATATCATTATCAATACAAGTCTAACCTTTCTAATAATAGAAAGAACACACAATTTTTTATCTTCATTAAACAACATACAATATAACACAATATTATAATTAAATTATTCATGCTCTCTTTATTCATTCAAAGCATAATATCAGTGTAATATCATATGCATACATACAGTTATAATAGTCATTACAATTCAAGTCTTATCATAACTAGTAAAACCTGAAAGCGTAAAGAAACCATCTATATATTATTTTACTTTCTTTAGATAATATACAATATCACTCAATATTAATATTAAATACTATGGTAATTCCAGAAATGAATCCTAACTGTATCGACATTCCCTTTTCTACTTTCTCATATTAAATAACATTTTTATCAAGGGAAAATCTTCATGCAAACTTTGGACAAATAATATTTATGGCATTCAGGTATTTTCTATCCAATTGCATTGATAGAAAAACATGATACATTTCAACATTATTTGTTCTTCAGATATTCCTCTTTAAAAGAAAAAAGTTTCAGCAGTATGCAAAGTGGCCTGCATTTGGTTTTTGACCACTGAAACAATTTACTATTTACTCATGCAGCCGCATTAAGATCTCTATATCTCTGGGATTGAACCATATAGGGCCTTTAAAATGAAGATACCAAATAATTGGTTGTTAAGAACCAGAATCTAAAAGGATATTAAGATATCTGTAATACTTCTTGAAGTTACAGGCATACAAACTCAAGGCAAAAAACACAAGAAGTGCTTTTTCACATTTTTGAATTTTGAATGATTTTCAACTGTCCCTGTTGCCATATAATGAGACAAAGATGGCTAAAGGCAACAGATTTAACTACCAATCTCTGTGTAAAAAAATGATGATACTGATGAAGATCCATCTTTCTAAAGGAATGTTTATACCCCTCTAATTTGGCTTCAAAACTCTGACAAAAATTGTCATTTTGACCCCCGTCTTTAAAATAATGGACATCTGTGACATTAAATATTTTGACTTTCTTTAGAAAAGCTATTAACAATCAACAATTTGAGCCAGGTAAGTTTCTGAAATTTGGTTGATTTGACATGGAATGACACAGGGCTTTTTGTCTGGTCATGTGATCTCAACAAAACTACATTAGTTTGACACATTCTTCAAAAATATCATTCTGTAGAGATTTTAAACCGTATCAGTTTAGCTTTGAGAATGAAACCAACCTGTTTTTTCCTCAGTATCTTCTTGTTTCACTTTGAATGTTTCTTCAATCTTCATGTCTTCACTCTCCTCTTTAATAAACGCCATCTTTATAATAATGCGTCACGTGGATCTCATGTAAGCACCTTCACCAGGAGTTTTTCTGTGTGTTTGACAATAAACAACAGAACAAAAAAAAAAAAAAAAAACTCAATCAGCTTCCTAGTTCAGTAAGGGAATCAGTCATAGTCATAGTGGCTTTAAATAGCCTGATTAGCCAAATATATTACAACAAGCTCTACAAATGATACACTTATGTTATATGACTTATTCTATATTAAATTGTAAATTATTTTGAATAGATTATACTTTCATTACACCATTTGAAGTTGGTTTGTTAAAGTTTTCATTACATGTTGTTCTCGTTACACTGTTTTGACCAGCAGGTCTCGCAGTGTGCGGTGAATCGAGCAATTTGAATCAGTGATTCATTTTACGAATCAATTAATTCGGCAGTCTCGAAAAGCTCAGTTTCTCCCATTACTTGCCAGTCACGGAATTCGTGAGTAGAACAAACTAATTTACAATATTGGGAGACGCCAAATGAGACTCACTTTTACTCGTTTGAATGTGCTTTACTCACAAAAATAACGTGCATTAATGTTAAATAAAGCATTATAATGTTACAATAAATAATAAATTCATCTTACAGAGCTTGTAAATATTATGAATTGATTGATCAGCATGATTTCATATAAAAACCTTAAATGCATTTAAAGACCAACCTTTCTTCAGCCAAATTACAACAGTGTGGCGCACACTTATGACGTCATATCGCCAGACCAAAATAAAAGTCCCAATCACACGCTGTCTAAAATCATAAAAGTGCATAGAATATTGTATACAAAAGGCAAAACTTCAATGTTTGGGTGCAGAATATATTTACAAGATATCACAGTAGGCTATTTAAATGAAAAAAGTGACAAGCCTGGTTTATGAGTTAAAATAACATACTATAAGTTCATAAATCAGAGATCATAATATAAATATGTATATTCATTCAGTTGTGCTTAAAAGAGTTAACATAGCTTTTGAAGAATTAGCAAAAAAATTTAAAATTGCAACAAAATAAGGGATGATACAAAATGTACATAATTTTTTTATTTAGTGCTGCCCTGAATAAGACATTTTACATTAAAGATGTTTACTATAGTCCACAAGACAAAACAAATAGCTGAATTTATAAAAATGACACCATTCAAAAGTTTACATACCCTTGATTCTTACAATTTGTTTCCAAAATGACATGCCCAGCGCATAATTTAAACTGACACAGTGAGCAAAACTTCTTCTCAAGTCTCCAAAAGTCTAAACACATGTTCTGCTTTACACACATTTTGCAAATCAACAATAGCGCTTTTTAAATGCACTGAACACGGTTCTCTACATAAGAAACAACAATTTGACAAAGTCACATGTTGATTCCAAAGTCACAAAAACACTGCCATTCAAACACTACATGAGATAATTATACAACTCCTCAGTGATTGATTGAATTAACACTTCAATCCGGATGTAAGTACAATTTGCTGTGCATATGTTACACTGACTTGTTTGGTGAAAAAGACAAAAACTTATGTTTCAACAGCATGTGTGTGTATCTGCAAATATTTCACTCACCAAAACTGCAAAATACCTCATATATCCTGCAAAATGAAGCACTGCAACCAAAGCTAAATATAGCATTATCAAAATAAACTTTTGCACGAAATGGCACGCACTTCATTCATATTACAAGATTTTAGTCTAACTAACTACACTCTGTTGGGCATAATGAAAATCACTCTCATCTTCAGCATGCTTTGCCATAACACTAATGTTCACATTTTGTGAATTGTGATATTTGTGTTTTGTGATAATTGTCAAAAAGTATTTTGATAAAACCAGCCTAGTTTGCAAAATTTTGTTAACAATTAGACAAAAACTGTAATACTGTGTTGTACCACTAACAAATTATTTTAAAAAAAGTGAGTGACAGAGAGAGAGAGAGAGAGAGAGAGAGAGAGAGAGAGCAAGCATGAGTGTGTGTATATGACAAATTATTTCCTTACTCGTAACTTGTGCTCATCAACATCTCTCTTAGTGCTACCCTGATGAACTTTTTTGGAACATCAGGAAACTTTTTTTTGTATTGTGTCTGTAAGTCCAATTCCACTTATCATATGTGATAACATGATTACAATTTTGCACTGTAACGCCAACATCATGTTTTCCTTGCACCTTTCCCAGATAGCAAACTGACATTGAATCAACGTGGAAATATGACATCGAAACAACGTTGATCTGACATTGTTTTGCTCATCGAATTAACGTTGAACCAACGTCAGACCCGTCATTCTTTCAAAACTAACGGAAAATTAACTTGAAATCAACGCGTTGTTTCAACGTTATGAAAGCAAACCAATTTTCGATTTTCATTTAGCTTTGAAGAATGCCGCAACTGACGTTGGTTCAACGTTAATTCGATGAGCAAATCAACGTTGTTTCAATGTCATGAGAGACGTCGTTTCCACGTTGATTCAATGTCAGTTTGCTGTCTGGGTTGTTAGCATTGCCAGCTTTTCCAGACAGCCCATGTGTGGCCAACGTGTCTCTCTCAAACACTGCCAACGCCAGATCTTTCACCATGGCAGAATATGACGTGCCACCCCGTCCACAACTTGTCAGGACAGGTGGACTAATTCCCCAAGAGTGTCCTGATTCTTGCACTGGAAGAATTAAAGGTTCTCTGAGCGATCCTGGGTGTTGACGTTCGAATATTTTCAAACTAATCGGAGGCTAGCTAGACCCTCCCTCCTCCGCATCTCATCTCCTCCCCCTCCCTTCCGTCCTTCCTGAAATAATTGTGAACGTGCATAGTTCTAGCTAATTATATCCTTGTGTGGGTTTGGCGAACATAAGCGTCAATTTAGAAGAAAAAAAAAACAATTTAACGTTACCCACCTGTCCAGCAAAAACAGAGCAACCTGAATGTCGGACTGGAAGCCCTTCTGCCGCCGGAGTTCTCGCCATCATTAAAAAGCTTTGCTACCGATGTAAATTTGGAACTTTGCACGATCTTTATCCGACTCCTTCTTCTTTTTAATTTGTTCCTCAGAACGACGTCTCTTTGGTCGTGTTTCGGCCATTTTTTTCAAACTTCCCTCTTACGCTTCGCTCTCCTTCACAAACACACCCCCTTCATGTGCACGCGCACTAACCCCCCAGACCCACCCTCAAATACTTCTTGCCAGTGATTGGCTGGAACACTGTTTGTTAGGTTTCGTGGTCCGGGTGAGACATGATTGTTTTTGTTGCCGTTTGTGGAGCCTGTGGTGTCTACAGAGACCGCGTTTTTTTACAGCGTGTTTAGGGGACAGGCAGCTAGTCGATAGTGAGGAGACGTTTGATGTATGTGACAAAAAATGTTTTGGCCCCACATCGCTTAGAGAACCTTTAATAAAAAATAAATAAATTAGGTAAGTCACAATTCAGGCATGGATCTATCATATTAAGTAACAGTGTAAATAACATTTTCAAACATACGTGATTTCCATTCACTTTATGCCTCTTTTATGTGCTTTCCAGACCCTGCCCTACAGACAGACTAGCATGATGTCATCTCAGAATTTACGCTTGTCTTGCAAAAAAAAGGTTTCCAAATTTACCAGTAGCACCTCAATGTAGAACATGAGGAGTCGCATCAAGATCCAAGGGGTGGAGATGGGTAGGATTAGGGTTGGGTTTAGGGATTAGGGGGCGGAGTTGGGTAGGTTTAGGTGTATGTAAGGTGGGAGGAGTTGGATCTGGATCCGACTCCTCCCCGTGTATTTCATGTTCCGCAGTGAGAACCATCTCAAATTTACAGCATATTGCTGACATGCCAGAAAAAGGGATCATTTCACAGCAATGTGATAAGTTTGTTGTTATACCAAGATTTTTGTTCATATAACGTGGCTTGAAAGATCGCTGTATTTGCCTAAAATGAATGATCTTTAGGTTTTCTACTTAAATTACATGCGTGTAGATAGCAAACTGACATTGAATCAACGTAGAAACATGACATCGAAACAACGTTGATCTGACATTGTTTTGCTCATCGAATTAACGTTGAACCAACGTCAGACGCGTCATTCTTTCAAAACCAACGGAAAATCAACTTGAAATCAACGTGTTGTTTCAACGTTATGAAAGCAAACCAATTTTCGATTTTCATTTAGCTTTGAAGAATGCCGCGTCTGACGTTGGTTCAACGTTAATTCGATGAGCAAAATCAACGTTGTTCCAATGTCATGAGAGACGTCGTTTCCACGTTGATTCAATGTCAGTTTGCTGTCTGGGTAGCGTGTACCCATTTGCAGAGAAAAAAACACATAGCTGTGTCACTCAACTGGATGCCTGCAGAAGCTAGGAAAAGAGAATACAAAAGACTATGGCAGAGGGTGCAAAGGAAAATTAGAAATGTGCACATTAACGCAGCTGGTACTACTAATGTGCTAGACAGTGAAGCACACAATCCCAGGGACACTATGCCAATCTGTAACCCAGGCCTAAATAATGCAGTGACTGGAGAATCTAAAGTGACAGCGATGAAATGTCGTTCGTCAATACTGACATCAGTGCAATCACATCGCTATAACATTCAATGGCAGAGGACACAGAGAATATGGTTCTTGAATATTCCGGTAGTGACATGGATGAGAGTAATGCCAACCCTGAAAATTTTGCAGAGTTAAAGAAGTGGGTCAATGAATATAATATAAAGCACAACGCTGCAGACAAACTGCTCAAAATTCTCAGGCATCAAGGGCACAAACACCTGCCATCTACCACAAAAACATTATTAAAAACGGATCATGTTGAAAGCCAAATGGTTTCTGGTGTCGAATGCATTAAATTAGGAGTGACTGAACAATTAATAATGTGCTTGAATCGGTATCCCAACAATTATGCAAAAGACATCACTGAACTTGAGATTTCCCTCAATGTAGATGGACTGCCACTCTTTAAATCTTTCTGGCCTGTACTCTGCACAGTACATCTAAAACCAGCAAGCACATTTCCTTTGACCATTGCCCTTACTGAGGCCAAGCCCAAATCACTGGATTTCATTAAAGTCATATCAGATGAACTGAAATCTATTCTAATGAATGGCTTTGCCAGGGGAGAAACAACAGTCAATGTGAGATTACCTGTGATGCACCAGCAAAAGCCATGCTGAAGTGCATCAAACAATTCTCAGGTTACTATGGCTGTGACAAATGCACCCAAAAAGGCACCTGGGAGGGGCGCATCACTTACCAACAGGTGCATGACCTCACTTTGAGGAATGATGTCTCATTTAGAGAGCAACACCAGCCAGAACATCATCACGAAGATGCTGTGTCCCCTTTCAGCAATCTCCAAATTGACATGATCAAGTCTTTCCCTGCTGACTACATGCACCAGTGCTGCCTGGGAGTGATGAGAAAAATGCTCCTACTATGGTCACGGGGCATCGGCTATCGCCGGCTCAGCTGAGGGAGGTCAATCAGAGGCTGAGGAATTTGAGAAGTGACAGAGGACAGGGTCGTTTTCATCTATATTAATTTCACATTATATTCACATCACTGGGATGAGCTGATGGGATGAAAGTGTTTTCAATATTGCTGACTTCCAAGCAGTTATTATATGTTAAAGTCAGTTCATATGAGGATAGAAAGAGTCCTTCTATATCTTGAGAATCACAAATTGACAGGTCAAGTCCTGGTGTTATGAATTGACAAAGTGGAGTTTGAAACCGTAAGAGAAGCCTGTAT